TCCTCCTCCTCCTCCTCCTCCTCCTCCTCCTCCTCCTCCTCGTCCCTCCCTGCGCAGCGCCTTTTTGTGTGCCCGAGAGCTGCCCCCGCTCAGCCGCCGCGCGGGGCACGCCGCTGCTGACGGCCTGCTCGAGGCGTGGGCGAGGGGGGGGGAGAGGAAGAAGTTTCGGGTTCGAGGTTGGTGGTTTTCGGGCGTTTTCGTCGGACCGGGGCTGTTTTCTGGCCTCGGGGGGCCGATCGGGGCTGGCCGGAGCATCCCGACCGGCCGCCGGGAAGCCGAGTTGTGACCCGAAAGCCGGGGGGCAACGTTGGGGGGGTAGGCTCAGGGTGGGACGCATCGGCCCCCAATCGCCCCTTGATCTTCGAGAGGGGCCCGACGACCTAGCCCCGCCCAGGACCTTCCGGATTCGCTTGCGGGGGCCTATCTCGGGTATAGCAATGGCCCCAGGTAAGGGGACCCGGTTAGTAGTAGGCCCCCGGAGCCCCTAAAGGGACCAGAATCACTAAACCAGGTCTGCGGTAATTGGTGCTTTTTCGGGTAACGGCAGTTCCGGTTAGTGGAACGGGGCGGGGGTGGCGTCCCCAGTACGCATGCTTAAACCAGGTTCAGCTAAACCCAGTTCTGCCCACGCCCGACTATTGCCGATCTGTCGGCGACGTATCGCCGATTGTAAGCGTTTGTTTTTTTGTTGTTGCCGATCGGCGTGGGCCCTCGCCCCCCCCCCGTGGAGTAGATCTTGGCTGTTTTGTTGGCGCCTGTTTCGAGCAGGTGGAGTCTCTTCCACAGGACGCACTGTTGCAAACAGACGCCAGTAAGCAGAGGTCCGGAGCCAGCCCCCCCTCTCCCCCCCCTTTCCGCCCAATGTCGAAACGCTGCAGAAGGAGACGTTCACCAAACGTGCCCGAAGTTGTGACCGAGCGTGACCGACAGTGCGACCGACATTGAAAGTCGTCTCGGTTTGGAATCAAACATTCTGGTCACACCTGGGCGCGGTCGGACAGTTTCGGGCGCCAGTTTCGATCACATTCGGGCAGATTCTTGGGCACAGCTTCGGTCACGACGCCTCCCTGATAGAGACGAGGCTCAGTGAGAGTTGGGAACGGCGGGGTGGACGGCAAGTTCGCGCTCCGTCGACACAGCGGCGACGGCGGTGCGGGCGTCAGAAGGTTGAACGCCGCTGGTGTTTTGGACTTTGCCGACGGCGAAGGATTTCTGCTATCGGAGAGCCGCGGTCGTTCCGGGCTGAGCGGCCCACGCGGTGCCGTAAGCCAGCGAGAAGTCCGTCGCGACGTGAACCTGGCGTACAGTCGGACAGGTATACGTTCGAGGTCGGTGCGGGGAGGGTGCCCTCCTGTCCTCCGTGTGTTGCTGGACGTTTTTTTGTGCATCCTGCGGAGGGTGCCCTTATGGCTGTTCTGTGTGGTCTGGCCGACGGAGGGTCTCCTTTCTCCAGGGAGGTTTTTCTGGCCTGTGTCCGAGTGTACGAAGCGCGCTGCACGCGCCGGTTTCGGCTGCGCCGGCGCCCACTTTCCGTGATAGTCGCGCGGCCGTTGCCCCTGGCGCTGGGAGGCGCTGGCAAAATCGGCTGCTTGCAGTTGATCGCCCTACCTCCTCTGCCATTGTCGTCCTCGGCCATCCTGTGACATGGCAAAAAGCCGTGGCCCATCCAAAACATATCCAGTATGGAAGGCCAGGCCGAGGAAGTTGTCGTGAGGTCTTGGGCGCATGCCTCGCAACGGTAGCTGTGCAGAGCAGGCAGGCTTCCATCAATTCATTAAACGTCGGACTGACTGTAGGAGGCAGTGGAGGATGGGGATCGTCATCGTAGGGCCGGGAACTGGGGCCCCAGGCCCCCGTTCTTGGGCTTCAGCAGATGGGAGGGATCACTCAAAACGAGAGACAACGACGAGGAAACGCGTCCAAAAAGGGACCCGTCCGTTCATCCGCTGCTGATTCAGCGTTCCTTCTGGCAGTGCCATGGCTGTAAAACATGGAGCCCTCACTAGCGTCACGTCGCAGCAGCTCGGTTTTGGCGAATGGGCATGCCTTCTGGAAGAGGACACGTCGTGTAAGCGTCAAGTGGTAACGACCCTCGCCGGAGTGATCTTTACGACGGCCAGTTGTCATGACAGTGATGCATTGCTAGAGCCTGCTTTAGTGAGTTTGGGTAAGAGAAGAAAGGATGATCCGGTGCATGTATTGGGGATCGTCATCTTTACTGGGTGTTGACTACATTGTTAGCCAGAGCATTCCTAGGCATTCCCAGGCATTTCTCGGAGAAGCCCAGGAGCCGCCCAACATAATCTGGGCTTACCTGGCTTAGTCTGGGCCCAATATGGCCCAATCCAGTGAAGTGACGTGGACTCCATCGCCCTTACCCTTCCAGCGAAGACCTCCCATGAGTTGCCTCCTAACTTTGCTAGCCCAGAATCTTCTGAAACGACGACGGCGCCGCCACAGTCGTCGTCGTCGACGCCGCCACCGCCCTCGTCGTCGCCGCCGCCGCTGGCAGGCCCTCTCGCCAGGCGAGCCCTTCCCCGCGGGATGCCGTCGACAGCCCGGCCTGCGCGCGGCTCGCGTGATGGCGCCCGCCCGGCGCGACCCGTGCGCAGGCAGCCGCGCTTGATGGCGACGACGACCGCGACGGCGTCGAGGACGACGGCGGCGTCGACCGCGACGGCGTCGAAGGCGTCGGCGGCGTCGGCGAAGGCGCTCGCAATGTCGGGGGTGAGAGTACGAGGAGGAGGCGGAGCAGCAGCAGCAGCAGCAGCAGGAGGACGAGGACGTAGGGAAGACGAACAAGAGGAGGAGGAGGAGGAGGAGGAGGAGGAGGAGGAGGAGGAGGAGGAGGAGGAGGAAGAGCAGGAGGAGGAGGGCCAGTGTAAACCCAGACTCATCAACGATGTTGCTATCCACCCTCCTCCCAAGCTCCCTCTTCATAGGCCCCTACAGGTGTTGATTACTGCACAGGGAATTGCCCCTTTGGAGGCAACCATCTGAAGATCCTGAAGCTTGCCAAGACACCGTTCCTGTGACCCCAACGCCACGAATCAATTTGGATGTTGCGTCTTGACAATCGTGAATCGTGCCAGAACGCAATTCCTGGGACTTCGCACCGCGCATCAACGTAATAGTTGCGCCCTGACAATCCTGAGTCGTCTCAAGACACCGTGTGGTACGTCGACCATGGGAACATGTGAAAAAGTATTGCAACTTACAAAAGTATTGCAACTTACAAAACGACTGTCCACGGCACTCAGGAGATAACCACCTTTTGAAAAGGAACCGCCCTCAATCCGTGAACCGTGTTTCAATTGTTTACGACGAGTGTACACGGCTCTGAGACGAGAGCCACATTTTGAAAACGACCCGCCCTCAATCCGCGAAGCTCTTGCAACTATATGAAACGAGTGAGGGCGTCGCTAAGGCGAGAGCCACATTCAGAGAACCAGCCGCCCTCCATCCATCAAATTGTTGCCTATGTATGTTTAAGCTTCAGGGTCATAAGTGGTGGGGAAGTCTCAGGCGAAACGCACGGCCCTACCTTCCGACAGGCCTCGGGGTGCGACAGGGAGAAGTTGTCTAGAAGGACGGGGAAATGAGGAGGAGGAGGAGGGGGAGGAGGAGGAGGAGGAGGAGGAGGAGGAGGAGGAGGAGGACGACGACGAGACGGAGGAGGAGGAGGGGACAACGAGAAAGAGAGGGGGAGGACGAGACGGAGGATGAGGAATAATTTGGATGAGGACGAGTATCTAGGAGGAAAACGACGAGGCTGAGGAGGAGGAGCAGGAGAAGGATACGATGATGACGACTCCGCTGAGGAATACGAGGAGGAGGGGGAGTAGCAGGAGGATGAGGTGGATGAGGAGGATGATGAGGGGGGGGAGGAGCAGGAACGGGTTTAAGAAGGAGGAGGAGGAAGAGGATGCGGAGGAGGGGCACGAGAGCATCACCTGGCATCATCAGGCACCCACCCATAGCACCAAGAGATCAAGGACACCCACCACCTCCACCATCTCCCCTGAGGGCACGCCTGCCATCGCCACAGGCAAGGTCCTTCTACGTCGACGTACCCGCCCTCGAGGATACCATCATAAAGAACCACGCGGACACTGAGTTCAACAACCATGATCTAAGTATATACGGAGCCTCAACGACGACAAGGCTAGTGCTCGCCTGTACAACCTGCTCCTCAACGACCTGGCAGACACCTTCATCATCCAAGCAGGGGTACTGATAGTCAATACTGATATACGAACAGCACCAGCTTCTGCAAGCAGCCACACAAGAGGGCAACCTGGCCGCCAGTGACTACAGGGTTCGATACACCAGGGCCGAGACCAATGCACAGGCCAAGGACCACGCCATGCCAGTGACGCCGACTCCCACACCACCGGTCCTGACCGAAACAGGACGTACAGACCAACTACGGACCACGGTACAAGCACCACCAAGCATCACTGTACCAACCGAGGCGCCACCACAGGTGAGCGCCAGCACATTGGCACCAGTCGTCAAGCAAGGACCACACTGGCTTGCCGACGACAGGATCTCCAGCAGTATTACAGCACCACTTACTGTCCCAGGAGGTCTCATCCAAACCACCACCCAAACACCACCGTAGTCAAAAAGCGAGTCGCTGGCACACGATGGCGGTAACACCCACCCCACCGAAGGTTGGCACACGATGACGGTAACACCAAACCGCCGCTGGACGAGTACAAAAGGGAACGCGGAGAGCGCGATCGACTACATTGACCCGGAGGAGAGCGCAGTGGCGGACCACCGAGCCGCCAATTTCTTCACGGAGGAGCTGCGGCAGCATTGCAGTATAGAGCGGCCCAGGGACGCCTACATGGAGCGCTGGATAAACGTCCTGGGTAAGGAGTGGCAGCGTTTCTACTGCGAGTGGCCGCCAGAGGGCCCCTGGACCACAATTCAGGGGCAGCCAGTGGAGGAAACGACAGGCACCGAGGAGGACGAGGTCGCTGTCGACAGGAGTTGGCGTCTCCTGACGTACTGCATGGAAACTGCCTGCAGCCGGGCACGCGCGATGCTGCTGCAAGAGGAGGAGCAGTGGGAGGAGAGGAAAGAGGAGGCTGAGGAGGAGGCTGGCGAGGACGAGGGAGGACGCGAAGGAGGCTGGCGAGACCCTGGGCCTGCCACTCGCGAAGGCTGCCGCAAGGGAGTGGTGCAGGTACAGGTACGGAGGAGGAGCCAGGCTGCAGGAGGAGGCACGGCTCCCACCTTCCAGGAGAGGCATCTCGCGAACGTGGTGTCGAGGTGCCGCCAGCTGCCCTCCATGCAGCAGCGGGCCCCGCGCAGGTCGGAGGAGGCGGAAGCCCTGCGACGAAAGGTTGTGGAGGCCGCGCGGCGCCTAGAGGTGACCACCCCCGCGGGGGTCGACAAGTGGGCCGCGCTGGAAAAGGGGGCAGGGGACCGCTTGCACCGCTGCCGAGACGAGGCGAGGAGAGCGAGGATAAACGGCAGGAAGAAGCGCCCGCGGGAGAGCGCGCGCGGCGCGCGGGTGGCTGCGAGGAGGTGCGCGAGCGCAAGGGGCACCTCTACAGCAAGGAGGACCCGACAACGGCTGCCACGAAGACAACGGAGGAGGCGCTGCTGCTCCTGAGGAGGCGGTGGTGGAAGGTCTGGAGGAGGCCAAGACCGAACGAGAGGGAGTGGAGGATGGGGGCTCCAGCAGGCACTCGATGGGATGAGCGTGCGGGCGTGGGAGCCGCTGGACGAGTTCGAGGTGCGCGTGGCCATGGGCAACGTGGCAGGCAGCTCCGCCGGCCCAGACGGGTGGACAGGCACGGAGCTCGCGGGGATGGTGCCGATGGTTCAGGCTTGGGACGGAGTTCTTCAACGAATGCAGGAGAGACGCAAGAGGTTGCCCACCAGCTTGTCGGAGGCCAGACAGGTGCACCTGCCGAAGGCAGCGGGCAGGGACAGCGACGGCGCCATGGAGGTCGAGGCCATGAGGCCCGTCACGATCTTCAGCTGTTTTTGCAGGTGTTGGGCATCGGCACGCCTGCGGTCCACGTCCTGCCCGCAGTGGACAGAGGAATGGTGGCCAAGCAGCTGCCGCGGAGCCAAGAGAGGAGCGTCGGTCTGGGGCGCCGCGGCGGTCATCGCGGAGCAGATGGAAGCAGGGGCGTACGGGGCCAGCCAGGACTGCTCGATGTGCTTCGACTGCGTCGACCCCTGGGTCGCGGAGGAGGCGTTGAGGCTGCTCGGGGTGCCGGGCGGGCAGCGGATCATCCTGGCCACGCAGTAGACGACGCAGAGATGGTGGCTGCAGCTGGACGGCGCCACGCTGCCCGAATCGGAACAGGTGACCGGGCCCCCCTGCCCCAGGGGGGGCCATGGTCCCCGCTGGCGCTCACAGCGGTGCTGGCCGGACCGTTTTTCGAGGCGCATGCCGCGGCGCCATGGGCAGAGTTCGCCCTCTTCGTGGGCGACAGGACGCCGACGGCGCCCGCGCTTCCAGAGCTCTTCAAAGCCGCGGAGGTGTTGTTGGAATGGACCAGCGTTCTGGGTCTCAAGAAGAACGAAGGCAAACGTCAGTTGGCGGCGGCAACGCCGAGCAAGCGCCGGCAGCTTTTGCAGCTTGGGTCTCCGGCTGACAGGGTCCGCGACGAGCTGGAGGTCTTGGGCGCGAAGTTCACGGGGGGGCCGAAGAGGGTTAAGATGGGCAAGGGAGGAGAAGAGAGCGGAAAAGAGGCGCTTCAGTAGGCGCGCTGCGCGAAGGTGCTTCCCTTGCAGCCGTGGGATCTACGAGCGGTGCTGGCGTCGGGGCCCGCCGGAGTGGCGGAATGCGGGTGGGTCAACGGCGCGCCGTGCAAATCAGACGTAGGAGAAATCCAGGCCGCAGTGGGCCGCGCGGTCGGCCCCCCGTGGCGCGCGGCGCCAGCGCCCAGGAAGCTCGCGCAAGGGCCCAGACTCGACGTCGCACGCCGGGCGCAGCAGGCCACGGTGATGGCGGTTGTCAGAACCGCGGCCAAGACGCGGCCGAGCACGACCCCAACGAGGTGGGAGAGAGGCCGAAGATGGGGTGGCAACGTCGCCGCCATGCTGAAGACCACGGGGTGGGCGCTGACGGGGGAGCGGGCCTGGCGCCGCGCAGGGCTCGACGAACGTGCGAGCCTGGGCATGAGCAGCAGGGGCCGGTTCAGACCGAATGCTTTGGCCCACGTGCTCCAGGAAGGGTGGCGGCGCGCGTGCTTCGTGCAGTGGCAGCGCGTCAACGGGATCGACTTGGGGCTCTGCAGGTGGGCGAGCGACGACCCCGCGTAGGATCGAGGCCGCGCAGGCGGCGGCGGCGATAGGCATGGGGGCGGCAGCTTCCCTGGCCGGCGCCGTCGTGCCCCCCGCGGCGCTGGGCAGCAGCAGGGCGCGGCGGGCCGCGCAGGCGGGCGATGAAGCGCAGCCGCGGCCGAGGGGGGGGGCCCCCGCTTGGCCCGCGGGCGAGAGACGCCGCGCAGACGGGGTCGGGCGCGTCTTCGAGTGGGCGATCCACGTCCGGGGCGTGGCGCCGAAGGACAGGCGCGCGGTGCCCGGCGCCGGCGAAGACGAGGAAGGAGGTGGAGGTGGATGTGGCGGCGAGGTCGAGGGCCGACAGGAAGGGCGCCGAGACGCGGGCGACCACGGCACAAGCGCAGGACGGCTGCGACCGCGAGGAGGAGGGATGCAGGGGAGGGAGAGGAGGAGGGAAGGGTGCCCACAGCAGGAGACAGGAGGGAGGCCAGAGAGGAGGAGGGAAGAGGCCCCGCCGCAGGGGCCGGGGGGGGGGGGGGGCTGAGGAGGAAAAAGGGGAGGGAAGGGCGCCCGCCGCCAAGGGCAGGAGGGAAACTAGTCAGATAGGAGGAAGAGCGCCCGTTGCCCAAGGCAGTCGGGCGGCAAGGAAGGCAAAGCAGCTGCCGCGAAAAACGCGGGGGCTGCGAGGAAGGGAATGCACCTGATGCAGAAGACAGAATGGAAGACGCCTGCTACTACCGCAGCCAGGTCATCTCGACGGCACTCTTGTTTCACCGCCCCCCCAACCGCCGCCCACGAAGCGACCGCGTGCGGGGGGCGCCGCCTACGAAACAACCGCGCGAGGGAATGGTGTCATATTCGGCCCCACGTGAATCGCAGCAGGACCTCGTCGCTCGATTGACCAACGCTGTCAGCAGCATTCACTAACTGCCAACTCTATGCGCGCCTCTTCGAGATCCACATCCATGACGTGATCCCGGAGTATGTTGCCAGCGTGAGAAAAGCAGGTGGCAACTGCGACAGGGGTCCGGACACCGACCGTGGCATGAAACTTGAGTACGACGTCATTAATTATGACGACCCAGTTTGAGGCACCGTTCAATTGCGTCTTCAGGCGCGAGGGACTGCGGGAAGTACGTCTCTCATAATACGCCACAATCAGACCGTCTTCGCCCACTCCGTCAACCACCCGCTCGCTGCGATGCTCGCATACTCGATCTGCGACGACTCGGAGAACATGCCGACGCCAGCTGCCGTCGACTACTAGCGTCGCAGCCATTCATGCACGTCAAGTTGGGCGCGCGCCTCAACCCTGCATCCGTGCCCGCGCCATTCGCGATCGCCCGCTTCCAGACGTGCACCACCGCCGCAGCCATCAACGATCAACGGGCTGATCAACGCCTAGGGGGGCCACCAACCAGGCAATGCCGCAGGACAGGCAGTCCACGCGGTGGGCGGCAACGGAGGACGACATCGCGCAGCCGCTCCAACATGCACCATTGTAACCAGGGCGGTGATGTCGTCCTGGCTATCCAGCGCCGACGTAGACGTTGCTTGAAAGCGAAAACCTGTCGCCAAGTAATTATTTGGATTTTCTCGGAACGCTGCAGTGGCGGCGCGTTCCAAGGTGGGCCTCGGGATCCATCCCCCCGCCCCAGGTCTTGAACACGTTCTTGTGGTTTGATGTGCCTTCATGCTGAATCGCAGCGCTCCCCGCTATATTATGTCTCATGGAAAGGATTGGCATGGTCGGGGTTGGCTGGGGGAGGTCGGTAAGAAGGGTTGGCTGGATCCTCGGGGGCTGGCCGGGAAGATTGGCCAGGTCCGTCGCTGCAGGGGGACTTGACGCCGCCGTAAAGTCGATTGGCATTTTTCGTCGGTCTCATTTCTTGTCGCAGCTCTGTCCCAATGATCCCCCTAGCCCTCGCCGTTGTCATCTTCCTGTAGTTCCTCCTCTTCTTCCTCCGTCTCTCGGGGCTTCTTCTCCCCGCGTCGAGCCTTCGGCGGGCGTGCTATGAGGGCCCCCTTTGTCGTATTTCCTCCAGCTACAGGTGCCCTGGGCTGCCGTCTCGTCCGGGGCTGTCCGCGAGCGCCTCGAGCGCGCAGACTCGGCGTTGCCGGATCGTTCGCTCCGGGCGCGCGGGCCCGCTGCCGGCGCGCGTCGCGTGGCCGGCCGGGCCGCCGGGTAGCTCGCGCCAGGCGCGCGCGTTCCCTTCCCGGGCCGATCGCGCCCCCGGCCCTGCGTGCTGGCTCGCTCCCAGTAGGGTAGGCTTCTTGTTCCCGTGGAGGTCTCGGGCCCAGGGCTCTCTCCGCCCATCGTGACTGTTGGCCTTCGACGGAAGGGCGAGGGGCAGGGTGGAGGGAAATCGAACATGTAACATGTCGCGTGAGGGAAAATCGAACTTGTAACATGTCTCGCGCGCGTGCGTGCGTGCGTGCGTGCGTGCGTGCGTGTGCGTGTGCGTGTGCGTGTGCGTGTGTGTGTGTGTGTGTGTGTGTGTGTATGTGTGTGTGTGTGTGTGTGTGTGTATGTGTGTGTGTGTGTGTGTGCGTGTGCGCGGTTGCGTGCGTGCGTGCGTGTTTGCGTGTGTGTGTGTGTGTGTGTGTGTGTTTGTATGTGCGTGTGTGTGTGTGTATGTGTGTGTGTGCGTGTGCGTGTGCGTGTGCTTGTGTGTGGGGGCGTTCCGCCTGGTGCGGCTGCGCAACATGGTGATGTCGAAGGAGTTGGTCTGCGACCGTGGTTCTCACGAGTGAGAATTTCGCTAGACATCCTCAGATGATTGGGATGTTGGGATCGGGCGTCGGACACTTCGATTGTGAGATCGGACCTCGGGTGTCAAGCGTGGCGCGGGAAGACGACTCGCCCGCATTTTCATCGCCGTCGTTGTAGAATTATGTGTTCGTTGTTGCAGCGCAGGTCGTCGCCCGTGAACGTCGACGCTGCGTCGCTGCTGCCGTCGCCGCGGACCGCGATGTTCGGGGGGAATTCCTCGCGGCGCCGAGGGCCCCCCAGGAATGCGGCTGGGGCGCTGGTCTGAAAACCGATGCGCTGCCCCTTTTGCGATGTTTTTTTTGCTGCGGGCTCGTGGGGTAGCTGTGTCTCAATCGACAGGTCGAAGTCATTCGGAGCATGTATGAGCCTTCGGGACATGCCGAAGGAGACATGTGCGATGAGGGGCCGCCCACCCAGAGGTCAAGTGACGACGTGGGCACCTTCTAGTTTAATACACGAGGGTGGCGAATCGAGCGTTGTGCGTTCGCGGGTCCACGCGCGGCCAGGTCGAAGCATGCTAGCCCCCGAATTGGAGCAAGAGCCTTGGGGCGCTCAGAGGAACGGGGCGGGCCTACAAAGTTCACGCGTATTGGGCGACGCAATCGACGTGTTAGACATGTGCTTGAGTTTTTTTTTCCAGTCGGCTATTGATGGGCCTTTGGCGTTTGGCAACGTTCCGGACGCGGGTGAAGCCTGCTGATTCTTCTGTGGACATATCGGATGGCTCCGCCTTTGCGCAGCTGTTTCGACGCAGGGGGGGGGAGGCGGCGCTTCGCGTCGCCTGGGTGGTAACCGCGCGAAAGCGCGTTCACTTGCATTGGTGAGCAGCGCCGCCGGCCAAGTCGGGAGACCCGTCGCAGCAGGCAAGGCCGCGGGCCTGGGCCCCGAGGTCGACGAGAGCGACGCAGGGGCAAGTTGAAGTCGCTGCGCCAGCGGGGCGCGCCACGCCAGGGTGAATTTGGCAACCGCGTGGAGATCCATGGCAATTTCGGCGGCCGCGTCGACCCCGAGACTCGGGCGGCCTTCGCCCACCGCGAAGCGGTCCCAGCGCGCGCGGCTGCGAGGGGCCTCGCGTCTTGGATGAGCGCGCGCCGCTCGGATGGGCGTCGCGAGCCCCGGGCGCGTAGCGGCTGCATGCCTTCATATTTAGGTGGCGTCCTGACAACTTGCGAGTTTGGCCAGTAGGGAGATTTCCTCGCGCCCGGGCGACCACGCAGCAGTGGCAGCTGTGGCGTGGGCAGCGCGGAGGGCGAATCGGCATCCCACGTGCGCCGCGGCGGCGTGGCCCAGGTCTGCAGTGGGCGCAGACGCGCGCCGCTGGGCGGATCCCACGCAGGTGACCGACCGGGCGCGCGGCGCCGTCGACCGCGTGGCGATCGGCGGAGGCCCCGCGTTTGCCGTCGAGGGGAGGAGGAGGAGGAGGAGGAGGAGGAGGAGGAGGAGGAGGAGGAACAAGAGGAGGAGGAGGAGGATGAACAGGAGGAGGGGGACGAGGAGGAAGGGGACGAGGAGGAGGAGGATGATGATGATGATGATGATTATGATGATGATGACGATGATGATGATGATGTTGATGCTGATGATGATGATGAGGAATGACGACGACGACGTCGATGATGATGATGATGACGATGATGGTGGTGGTGGTGATGATGATGATGATGATGATGATGCTGATTCGCTGATGCTGATGATGACGATGCTGATGACGATGATGCTGATTCTGATGCTGATGCTGCTGATGATGATGATGATGGTGGTGGTGGTGGTGGTGATGGTGATGATGATGATCATGATGGTGGTGGTGGTGGTGATCATGATGCTGCTGCTGATGATAATGATGCTGATGCTGCTGATGCTAATGATGATGATGATGATGCTGATGCTGATGATTCTATTATGGATATGATGATGAAGAAGATGATGATGATGCTGATGATGATGATGATGATGATGATGATGATGATGCTGGTGATGATGATGATGCTGATGATGATGATGATGGTGGTGGTGGTGGTGGTGGTGATGGTGTTGATGATGATGATGATGATGATGATGATGAGGAGGAGGAGGAGGAGGAGGAGGAGGAGGAGGAGGAGGAGGCGGAGTAAGAGGAAAAGGGAGAGGAGGAGGAGGAGGAAAAGGAGGACATGTAGGAGGAGCTGACCGTAATGGGATGCCCAAGGGCCGGCGCACAGCATCAATGAATTTCGACATACTGTTGAAGTGCGAAACAGGGTTTGGAAGGTGAAGCCAGGAAACAATACTTGGAACACCCACAACACGATCCCCTGGATTGCGCATCTCGAAAGCTCTTCTTCAGTCGAAGTCATTCAACCAACGCATTCACCCGCTGTTCATCGGAGGGGACTGCCCCGAAGCCGAACAACTCGTACGCACAACAGTGGGTGCTGAGTTCCCTGGGGGCTCAGGCGGGTCACGGCGCATCGGAGCAAGAGGAACAGCGTTCTCGAGCAGGGCCTGCACGGAGCAGGAGGAGGAGGAGGAGGAGGAGGAAGAGAACGAGGAAGAGGAGGAGTAGGAGGATGAGGATGATACTGATGCTGCTGATGATGATGCTGATGATGATGATGATGACGATGATGATGATGCTGATGCTGATGCTGATGATGATGATGATGCTGATGCTGATGCTGATGCTGATGCTGATGCTGATGCTGATGCTGATGCTGATCCTGATGACGCTGATGATGATGATGCTGATGATGATGATGATGATGATGATGATGATGATGATGATGATGATGATGATGATGATGATGATGATGATGATGATGATGATGATGATGATGATGATGATGATGATGATGATGATGATGATGATGATGATGATGATGATGATGATGATGATGATGATGATGATGATGATGATGATGATGATGATGCTGATGATGATGATGATGATGATGATGATGATGATGATGATGATGATGATGATGATGATGATGATGATGATGATGATGATGATGATGATGATGATGATGATGATGATGATGATGATGAGATGATGATGATGATGATGATGATGATGATGTGATGATGATGAGGAGGAGGAGGAGGAGGAGGAGGAGGAGGAGGAGGAGGAGGAGGCGGAGGAGGTGGAGGAGGAACGTGGACATGCCAATGCCAAATAGGTGTATTGTCTCTCTCTCTCTCTCTTTTTTCCTCCTAGTCGTCAGGCGAACATCAGTGGCGGGGCTATTGCGTTTCTCAGCGACGCGAGCCCTTACGTGGAGGGACGCGATAGATCCCGATAGAACGAGTGCGAGACAATGGTGGCGTGACCTGCGGCAGCAGCGCAGAACATGGGACGGGCGAGGAGGGCTGGACGAGCAGAGCAGCGACCAGGAGTAAGCTCTGCCTTTCTCTCTCTCTCTCTCTGTCTTTCTCCCCCCCTCCCTCGGGCGCTGGGCGCGGCGCTGGCAGGCGCCCCGGCCAGACCCGCGCGGAGCCGAAGGGCGCCGCCGCCGGGACGTCGCCGGTCACCGTGGAGGAGGCCGCGGCCGCCGCCCGCGCCCGCCTCCCTCGCGCCAAAAGGGGCCTCCCCGCCCCGAGGCGCCGCAGGGCGGGCCACAGGCTCCGAAGCCAGTGAGCTCTCCCGTGTCTCACCACCCACCAAACCACCCCAACCCACTGGTCCGAAATCTGTTTTCGGCCTGGTCCGAAATCCGGCTTGATCCAGCTTAATATCCCGCTTGATCCGGCTGAATCCCGACTGACCCCGCTCAAGCCCGCTTGCTCCTGCGTAGGCCGCGGCCCACTCCAGCGCAACGGCTCCCAAATGGGGCTCAATCCTTCACCACCCACCAAACTACCCCAACCCAACCCGAAGGCTCAGATTTACCCTCGATTTCCAGTGGTGGGGGGGGGGCCCGGCAACATCGAACAAACACATGTGGAACCCTTACCCCCCGCAACCCGAAATTCGGGTCTTCGGGTTGGGTTGGGGTGGTCTGGTAGGTAGTCAGTGTCCACCGCCCTTGTTGATCCCGGGGCTCCCGAGATGGGCGACGCGAGGAGCACGGGGTCGTCTTCGCCGACAGGGCGCGCAAGCGCGCGCGTAAGGTCGCGCGTGAGCGCCCTCGTCTCCAGCGCAGCGTGCCGCGCTGGCGGCCCGCGTAAGCCGCGGCGTGAGGTTGCCGTGCCATCTCGCGTAAGAGGACCCCTTTCTTTTCGTAGCTCAGATTGGGTCCGAGCAGATGCGGCGCGATGTGTAGTCCGATGTTATCCACGCCAGCGTCGCCGATGCGTCGCCGCCGTTGCCCGTGCATCGCCGATGCATCGGCGAAGCATTGGCGATGTGGCGCGAGCCTCTGACCCTATCTACTCGGACCCCATCTAGGAGGCCTTTTGCTGGGTGGCAATAAAGAGGGGGGGGCGAAACAAAGTGCACCAGTCGTGACTCTTTTTGGTCCCAGGGGGCCCCAGGACTCCCCAAGGTTCATGGCACGGAAGGCGCACCATTCTGCACCCCCCATGTGTATGCCCCCCCCTCTGCGAGCATGTCGAAGAAGAGGAAGAAGACAAATAACAATAACAATAATAATACTTATAATAATACTACTAATACTAAGTTTTAATATTAATACTAATCGCAATACCACCAACACTAATCATAAGAATAAAAAGAGTAACACTACTAATCATAACATCAATAATGATAATACTAATAATGACTACTACTACTACTACTACTACTACTACTACTACTACTACTACTACTACTACTACTACTACTACTACTACTACTACTACTACTACTACTACTACTACTACTACTACTACTACTACTACTACTACTACTACTACTAAAAAAAAACGATGGCACACACACGTACGCTTTCCGAGCTCCGCGTGGATTTCTTGGATCGGTGCTGAGCCCCTCTGGCGCGCGGGAGCTCGCACATGCCCACCGCCCAGGGAGAGCCGCTGCCCCGGGGACCCTCCGA